ACGCACGCACGCACGCACGCACGCGCGCTCGCACGCGCGCACGCACGCGCGCACGCACGCACGCACACACACGCACGCACACGCACGCACACGCCCGCACACGCGCGCGCGCACACACACACACACACACATATATAGTCTACGGGTTAAGCGTACTTTAGCGTTGATACGTTTTGATCATACACGAATTTTGAGATATAATTATTGTGTCCTCGAATATTTGCGACGGTAGAGAAATATATAGTTTAACTTCTTAGCTTTGTACGAAGATCAAGCACACAATCAAATAAAATAGATGGTGCATCTTTTTTAAGATTAAACACCAATATTTTTACGTGGAAAACTCTGAATAGGAGAAAAATGATGGGTCTGTCACAGTTTGAATGAATCCACTAGTATTTGTAATTGATTACAAATGAGACATTTCATTGGAGGGAAGGCCTTAGCTTGGTGTTACAAATATATATCATATAGAGTGTGTTATATGGTGGAAATAAGAAGAATCATTATTGATGTATTCGTTTGGTCAGAATGACCATAGTCGGTGGGTGACAAAGGTCGAAAAGAACATTGTCTAGCGATAGAGTTCGGATGGACAGTAGTCGGTGGGTGACGGAGGTCGGAAGGACTGTTGTTCGGCGATAGAGGTCGGAAAGATCGTAGTAGGTGGGCGACGGAGGTTATAAAGACCGTTATCTGGTGAGGGAGGTCAAAAGGAACATAATTAGCAGGCGACAGAGGTTATAAAGACCGCTGTCTAATGATGGAGGTCGGAAGGACCATAGTCGGCGGGAGACAGAGGTCGGAAGGACCATTGTCTGGCGATAAAGGATAGAAAGACCGTTGATGGGAGGAAGTCCGGCGCTGGGTAGAAATCAGGCGAAGAGCATAAGTCTGGCTGTGGGCAAAAGTCCCGCGATGGGCAAAAGTCAGACGACGGGCAAAAGTCCCGCGGAAGTCCGAGCGGTGGTCGAGGAGAGGTTATTCGGCAAAATAGATCTCATATTTCTTTTCTTCATTCTCTTCCTTTCTTATTTACTTGAGCCTCCTTCCTCCCCCATAAGAAATGAGGGGTCTATTTATAGTTTTATGAGAGTGATATGGCTAGTAAATTGAAAGAAGATCACGGGTAAATTGAAATTGGTTTTAATGGATAGACGATGTTGAATCCCTTGATCACGGTAGATACTCAAGAAAGCTATTAGGCTTGAAGAATTATAGGCAGTTACGGATATACCTATGCCCGACCATAATCATCAAAACATCCACTGTAGCCACCATCGGAACTTTGTCCGATCTTGAAAAGAAGTAGGTTGTGACTGATTGGACGGATTGAAATTAACATACGAGATATTCAAATTTCATTCGGGACGATTTTTTTTTATTGCTTATTAAAAAGGTGTTTTAGTAAAAAAATTTAGCCTCAATCTCTACGATGGAGCACTGATTTTCCCATGAAAAATTTTGATTCTCCGTTTAACCGTTTAGTCTTATATCATTAATATTAAATTTAGAAAATTAACATTAATGATTATTTAATATAATTTAAAATTTTAAATATTGTATAGATAAATATTAAAAATTAATTATTAGATAATTCTTACGAATTGTGTGGTATGTATGTAAATTCGCGTACGTCATTTTGAACAGTTTAGAATTCCAGTCAATCTACCGCAAGCCCGCAACACTCCTCCCCGTCTATTTGATACTCCTTGCTCAACACAGATTTCGAACCACAGCTAAGAAGCTGGAAGAGTGGACTGCGGCAAGGAATGGGAGCAAGCGGTACGTTTAGGGTCTTATCATCGGAGATGACGCCGGCGGCAGCGGCGGTGGCGGCGGCGATGGCGGCTTTGCTGCTGTGGGTTTCATGGTCGGCCACATGGCTATGGTGGGCCCCTCGACGTCTCGAGCGATCTCTACGGGCTCAGGGTCTCCTCGGAACTCGCTACTGCTTTCCCTCCGGTGACCTAAAGGAGAACGCCCGCCTCATCCGCGAGGCTCTGATTAAGCCGCTCCCTCTTTCTCACTGTATCATACCCCGTGTTTCTCCGTTTCTTCACCGAGTCATCAATCAATGTGGTATTTAATCGCGTAGCATAGCTACGCACTATTCTCCCTTTTTAGGCCTTTTTTAGGAATTTATTCGACATGGAAAAATAAAATCCTCTCAGGATGGGAAAATTACTTTAACTTCGCTTTTACTGTGTAAACAAAGAGAAATTCGGATGATTCTTTCTATCAGATGTCCGAACCTAATAATTTGCCCTCATGATGGGTTTAAAATTTGATCCCATGACAATTTTGTTATTCATAAAATATTTATTCTGTAGCTGATATATAAATATTTTAATATTTTTTTTTTATTTTTCTTATATCTCACATCATTTATTTTCATTATAATTACTTTTCTCTCTCTCTCTCTCTCTCTATATATATATATATATATATATGCGTCCCACGCATAAAAATTGGATCAAATATCCGGACAAATTTATTTTTCTTTTGATGAATGGTTATATAATATACATTATTCTGTTCTAATTTATTCAAGATATTTAAGTTATATTTAAAAAAAAAAAGCTTCATTACATGTAAAGATGCAGGATTGACCTTGTGCAAATTCGTATTCTGCAAATCTTCCATAAATGATATGATGAGAAAGATGCTGGAATCAATATTTTAAACCTAATTTATATAAATGACTCCTTAACTTGCTAGCAAATAGAGAAAACGAAGATTTTGTTTTCACTTAAATTTTATTTGAAAATGAATATATTCATTATTTTGGGCCTTTGAGATGCTTTTGAGGGAGCTTGTGGAGAATAAATACAATATTGATTTCTGACAATGTCCAATCCAAATGATGGAATATAGTAAATTTTTATTTTGGGTGAATAAATTCACTATTCTGGAAAATGTGTTTCTAGCTTTAAACAATTAAAAAATGAGTACATAGAAAGAGATGATTTTGAATAGGTGCCATAGAGATTTGAAACAGAATTAAAGTTGGGCAGCACTCTGGGGAATTCGATTATATCTCATGACCTTACTCTTTCGTTGTGCTTGACATTCAATCATACTACAGAGCTGTAAAGCAGTCCTTTTTCGTGAACCTTGGACATGTTTTCTTAGAAATGCTTCTACTTTCTGTTTGCTGATATGTATTTTTTATCCTAAAGTGGTTAAAAATAAGTTCTTTTTAAGTGTCCCTTCAACTGGAACCGACCAATCGGTATCATTTTGATCTGCAAACAGGTAAATTCTGCATTACATGGATTGGGCCGATTCCCAGAGTCACCATCATGAATCCTGATTTAGTGCGTGAAATTCTATCCACCAAGTTTGGCCACTTTGAAAAACCAAAGATTAATCCTCTGGGGAAGCTGTTGGTAACTGGACTTGTAAGTTATGAGGGTGAAAAATGGGCTAGACACAGGAGGATTATTAATCCAGCGTTTCATATAGAGAAGCTGAGGGTAAGAAAGAAATCCTAGACTACGATCCTTCTTCTTTTTGAGCCATTTAATGTTTAAAGGAAAAGTTCGTACGTTTTAGTCATAATTTTTTCATCTTCTAAATGATTTTTAATGGTTTGCAGCGGATGCAGTCAGCATTCTCCTCTTGTTGTAGGGAATTGATCGAAAGGTGGGAGAAATTAATTGATCATGATGGAACATGCGAGCTGGATGTTTGGCCTGAATTCCAAAATTTAAGTAGTGATGTTATCTCAAAAACAGCATTTGGTAATAGCCATGAGGAAGGAAGGCGTATATTTCAACTCCAGACAGAGCAATCTCAACTTCTTATTCTGTCTTCTCAAAATGTATACATTCCAGGCTTCAGGTATGACACACTTGGCCAATTGTTGAATTGCATATTTGCATTATAATATATAACTAAATGTACTTGAAACGATATTACAAAATCATCTTGATCGGGCACGAATCTCGAGGCAAAAAACTAGTTGGGAGCTTCAAAAATTAATTTCGGGAGCATATGAACTCCGATTTCAGCGAGCTTACAGTCAAACTGAGCGTCTCGGAAATACGAACCCAACGACACCAAGATCAACCCAAGATTTCTTATTATTCTTGCTAGAGAATTTCAAGAATTTTATATCATATGTGTATATATTTTACAGCTAGTGCACTCTCAAATTTATTGAAAGATGTGACATAACGAATATTGCTTGCTCAAGTTTACGGAAATAGCTTTTCATTTGAACTTCCACTTTTCTTTTTGTTGCATCTTAGCCTAGCATACTTTCTTTTCAAGGCTATTTGATTTAGATCTACAAGACAAAATCTAAAGATGATATGCCCTTATGTTGTTTCTTTTTTATTATATTAAATATAGGTTAAGTGAATTAACAGAATATGCACTGCTAAAGAGCCAATAATTTTTTTTAGGCGTTCCATTAAAAATTTTATGAGCTTAAGTATGCGAAGAATTTTTTTCTGGCCCTTTATGATATGTTTGACGTGGAACATCTTAGTTATAATAGAGCATAGATTTAGTATACTTTTAATTTTTAGAATATTCTATTTGCTTTATAAATAGTTGAGGTTAGGTGTAAGGGGAATGAAGAATATTATATCCTTTTAAGCCTTGAGCTTGTGTTTCTTCCCCGATTTTTGTGTGTTTCTTCTAGCAGATTCTTTCTTCTATCGATCCACTGTAGTTGTTGGTATCAGAACTTGAAGATCGTAAAGAATGGAGGACTGCAGAAGAAGATGTGCTGTTGACCATGATCGAAGCCGAAAAAGATATGTTGTCGATGGCGATTGACACCAAAGAAGTTGGGTTGTTGATGATGATTAAAGCCATGAAACTTTTTGGGCAGCTCAAGTGAATGCATCACTTGATTGGTTGGATGATTTATGTTCTAATTTCATTCATTTTGTAGAGAGAATACACATGTAGGAAACCATATTAGTGCCTTCGCTCCTATGCACCTCGAGCGCGTCCGCGCGAGTGTTTCTGCTTCAACGCGATTCTGCCCCCACCCCCACTTCACTGTCGCTACAACTCCCACTCTGCTCCTGTGATCCCACGCCCCAAATACCAGCCCCGCTCTAATGTGATTCCGCCCCCACCCCCACTTCACTCCCACTTCCGCTCCCACTTCACTCATGTGATCCCGCATCCAACTTCTCTCTCACGCGCGATCTGCGCTTGCGTTATGCCACTGTTTAGGAAGAATCTAAGGGAGAGAAGAAGGATTCACTTGATCAACAATCAGTGCGGCCCGTCCTTAGCGTGCCTCCCACATCACCTCTACTCTCTACCATCCCTGATGTTAGGTTCTCCCCATTAACACTTTCGAGACTGCCTACCTCAAATTGAAGCTCGCCGCCAAACCTTCGAGCTCCTCCAATTCACCGTTTTCCCCTTCTCAATTTGTGGTTCAAAGAGTTGAAGAAGCCAGGAATAGATAGAGAAAGTTTTGATCAAGGATGCATACAGTTACTTCAAAAAATCCATCTTTAGTCCATTCAATTTTCAAGGAAAGAAAAAGTCAAGGAATACCCATTTGAGGAAAGCATGCAAAGATACTAGCTAAGAATAAGATAGGTTTCTTGTTCAATCTCTAAGGAAACTCGTATTAGCTGGGGAAGCTTATGGTTCAAGGTCAGGCATGAGTGTAGACATCTGCAGTGAAAAGTAGGATCAGTTAGTTTTTGAGATTGTGGAACATATCTCTGATAACCTAGTACCTATACTTATCCCTAATAATGGAGGACAGACCAAGGCAGTGCGTGTTGTGTTAACCAACTCAGAAATGGATAAGAAGGTTCCTCTTGACAAAAATTCAGAATCTTGAAGATGAGTAGAATCTCAAACTCAGGGGATTCCATCAAGTCATTGATTTCATCTCAAGCTCTAACAAAATAATTGTTTCCCACAACTGCCTCCATGATTTCACCTTTATTCATGAGAAGTTTCTCGGTCTGTTACCTGAAACGGTGTCATAATTTTTGTGCTCATCATGTGATTGATCTTAATCATTTGTTGAAGGAGTTTGGATCTTTAAGGAACGAAAAAAAAAAAACCTAGTGTCCTAAGTTATTTAAAAAGGTAGCATTTTGTGCCAATGTAACTTGAAGTTTTTGAGCAAGCTGAAGATGGGAACAAGATCCATGGAAACAATGTGCTTAAGTTAGCAATTTTATTGTTAAGTTGAATATGTTGTTAAAGAATGCTCTTTCAAGGCGATCTGCACGCGAGCACACTAGATCAATTAAAGATTATGCAAATATTTTCAATTCAACATCCCTAATACTTCATGAACCTGGTCATGATGATGAGACTAGCTGGTGGATTGATACTTGATGCAGGACTAAATATTAAATGCAGTTAATTCATATGAAATTTGCACAACTCTTAATTAGAATAATCAAAGAACAAGACTAGTAATAGTTCAAAACAACGAATCAAAACAAATAAGGGGTCACATCCGCTTAGGCTAAATTACACATCCAGAGAGTGGGAAAAGCTTTCAAAATAATTAGTAAATCACTTAATGTCGTAGTAGTAGTTTCAAAATAATTCCTAATCTAACAATGAAAATTAGTAAGCATAAAGGCACGCTCAAAAACCCTATGTTTACTAAGCTTAGCAGTAGCAGGGAGAGTCGTCATTCGTGACTACAACCAAGCACAAGATAGAGTTAGACTAGAGAAATATAATAAAAAGGGGAAAAAAGAACCTCTCGTCAATGAGTGGTGGAGATCCTCCACTCGACGCTTCGAAGTGCTCGTCGATTGCTTCCACTAAGGTGTCCAGAATACATCCAAGTAGTCCTCGACGGTATGATCAATCCTTGGATTCACGTCGAAGAAGGTTGATCGTAGAATATCGGTGAAGCCGTCCTCGTCCCAAGTTAAGCCGTATTCAGTTGCGGGATCTGCCATTTATGGATGCTAGGTAACAAATCTCCTCTCCGAAATCTGAGAGTAATTACATATTTCATTCCCAAAACCTGAGAGAAATTTCAGATTTCTTTCTTGAAAGAATAGAGGTTGGGAGAGGATTTGGGGTTTAGAACTCAATAGAGGAGTTGATGATGGAGAGGTGATTTGGAAGAGAAGCAAACCCAAGATGGGGCCTTGAGGATTTCGGCCAGCAGCAGGTTAGCTTCAAAATCTTCCCAAAGAGGGGCAATGTATCGTGGACAGATTTTGGGAAAATCCAGTAAGGGGCCGCGGTATTGGGGGGGGGGGTGGAATTAGGTATTTATTTCCTAATCCTACTCTCAGATTTTGGAAAATAATTAAAGGCTTGGGCTTTAAAAGTTTCGGCTATCATGAGATGGGAATTATTTCTAAAGAGAAGAAAGTGGTATTTAGGAAAGGTTTCCTAATCCAAGCCCAATGGGGAGGGGCCGGCGGAAGTAATGGGGAGAAGGATTAGAGCAATTAATTATTGCTTGCTAATTTGGGATACGTAAATTGGGAAAGGCAATTTTAAATCCCAATCAATTATGAATTGATTGGAGAGAATTTAGGAGACTTTCCTAAAATAGATTTTGTAGATTAGGAAACATTTTGAATTTTAAATCACTTGGATTTGAATTCAAAGCTAGTTCCAAATATTGTTAAATCTATAATAGGAAATAAAGGAAGAAAGGGAGGAAGGGGAAATCCCCAATGAGGCCGGCGACTAGGATTAGGTGGCCATCGGTTTTGGAAGATGGGAGACGGGGTTGGTTGGGTGGAGTTTGGCCGTGGAGCTGAATGGGGTGGTCGGATGGGGCGAATGCGGCTCGGGTGAGGGGAGAAGTCGGCGGCTGAGGTAAGGGGAAGGGAGGGAGAACCAAGAGCCACCGTTGGTGACTGTTGGGTATGATGGGTGGCCTATCCTAGGCTCCACCAAGCTCTCTAACTCTCTCTCAAGCTCTCACAAAAGTTTCAAGAAGACAAGTGCAGAAAAATTTTTCTTAATAATTCATTAACCTCAAAACATAAGACATGAGGCAATAAATAGCCAAGTACAAGGACTCAAGAAAAATAAAAGTCAATCTTGCCCTTTGGGCTTACGTACGATATTCCCCACTAAAAGGGTACAACTGGAAAAATAATAAAAACAAATACATGATACACGAAAATAGAAAAATACATGAATAGGAAAATAACATAAATACTCAGAAATATAAGGACTCAATCGTGGCCTTAGATCGCTCTGATAAACCTTTCATGAGTTGATGTCCCCATCATTCTCCCGGGGTGAGAGAAAACTCGACTCCGTCGAGTAAGTATCTTTGGTTCTCTCGTAGATCTCTAGTGCATCTGGGTCAATCTGTTGCAACTCCTCGCGATCTAGCCACATATCCTCTGACTCGGGCTTTCTTTTCCACCTGATCAAATACCTCCTTCGTCCACCTTCTCTTGTGGATATGATCTCATCACTTAGGATTGCCTCCATCTGCTCTGCCAAGGTTTAAAATTGCATAAATAAGCCTTGAGGCGGTTTTCATCCGTGAGGCGAGGCGTAAGTCTTGAGGCGGTCTGAGGCATAGCCTGACGGATGCAGAATTGCATAAATGAGAATTTAAGGATTTCAGCAGGTAAATAATAGCAAGATTCTATCATACAATAAAAGCATCTAAATGACAAGTGGAATTAGTGGAAATTAAAAAAACAGATGCAATAAAAGCATGTTCCAAAGTACAAAACCACAAAATTATAGTCTATCAGAACTCTCAAATACAATTAAGAAGAAACATATAAAATCCAATCATATCTCATCACTACATGGGTCTTTAAGGGAATCTTCTTCTCCAATTGTATCTATGAATGTCATATCTTAATCATCTTCAATATGACTCACTTTTCTCTTTCCTG